TTTGCCCGCACAGATCCCAATGGGATTTTTTCCTGGTGAAAACCTTTTTTTTTTTTTTGTTTGAGAAGTTTTTCAAAGTTTCATTATGGTATAAAACTTATTCTTTTCTTGCATCAAAAATGGAACAAAAATCACTCCATATCTTTTTTTTTTTCTCTTTTTTTCTGCAGCAGCCGACGTCTGACGCCCCTCGTTTGTTCAGCGCCTCCTTGATGCTGCCCCCCCACCGAGCTGCGGTCTGCACCGTCTTAGACGGGCTCAGCGTGGGCCGGGGCTACGGCGTGGTGGAGGCGGAGGAGTGGCGGAGCTATGTGGTCAGCACTCTCGCGGTGGAGGTGTGGCACATCCTGGAGTTCGACTACAGCCGGTTGCCTCGCCAGAGCATCGGCCAGTTCCACGACGGCGACACCTACGTGGTTAAATGGAAATACATGGTCAGCGCTGCAGGTCGGTACCCCCCCCCCACCACCACTGGTTGTTCTGTTACATAAAATAATAAAAAGTCATGTTTTTATATTAATTTCCTTCCATCAGTTGGAAAGAGACAGAACCCAGAGCAGCAGAAGACGGCAGGAGCTGGAAAGGAGAAATGCTGCTACTTCTTCTGGCAGGGCCGCAATTCCACCGTCAATGAGAAAGGGACGTCGGCGCTCATGACTGTGGAGCTGGACGAGGAGCGGGGAGCACAGGTGGGCCGCCTTTCTTATTTTAGCCCCTCCACGCTCACACTGGGAAAACTCCAACCTAAGTAGGTCAATTAATTGACTTTATCTCAGTTTGAACTGGTATTAGGAGCATATTCCATTACAATAAGAAGAAAACAAAAAACTTTATATCAAGTGAATATTATATATAAAACACTCGTTCCATTGGCAGATTTCATGTACCTGTTCAAACTAAAATCAATCAAACACTAACCTACATTCATTAGCTAAACTTATTTTATTCTATCCAGCTGCATTAAAGGTGTTGTGAAGGATTTTTTTAAAAGACTTTCTCTCCACTTTAAAAAGAGTGTGCACATGCAAGAGCATGCACAAGCTCATTTCTCTTTGTTAAAATGTCCTGTTCTCGTAGCTCATACAAGCTTACTGTCTCCTTGAACCCCAGTCGGCCTCAGCAGATGGCCGCTCACACTTAACCTGGTTCCGCTGGAGGTTTCTTCCTGTTAAAAGTAGGGCTGGGTACCGAACTTCGGTTCTTTTATGGTACCGACCGAAATGCTTCGGTTCTACCGAGTATCGAAACCAGTGGCGGCCGGCCCATAGGGGGCGCTGGGGCACCGCCCTCCCTGATAAGAAGAGAGAAACG